GTAAATATGCTCTATTGAAACACTAATGTGTTGTCACAAACCTCTATTCTTTCTTCCAGTTATAATCTAAGGTGTTAGCTATCAAAAGGAAGTGTCTTGTTTTGTAACTACAGTAGGTCCTCCGGTTATCCAACAGGCACTACATAAGTCACAACCCACCTACATAAGCACCTACGTCACTCACAGGGAACACATACACAGCAGTAATGAAGTGAAATAGTAGAAGAAATTTAAAAGAAAGATAACAATTCCTGACCTTTACTTGTGGTAAATAAATAATAAAAAACATAAAGCACATATATACATACGTTGAAATGACGGAACTTTTTTTTTATATAAATAAATGGGAGATGGTGACGTAACCACGAAACGACGTAAGTCGAGTCCAGCGTAACCCGAGGACTGTATGACTTTGGTACAAGACCATGTCTTGATTTATGTTTTGGCTTCTATGTTCAGATCAATGCTTTTCTATATACTAGTACAAACCCCCTGCCCAAGATTCTGGCTCATAAATGCTACTACATTCTAACATGTTATAGATCAGTTCAAAAAAGTAGTGATCCATAACTTACTTTGCAGATCTTTGTGGAGAATTTTTAAGAGATTGATGAAGAATTTGATAGTTTTATAACAAATGGAAGTTACGAGATTGGGAATGTTTAGAGCAAAATTTATGTGAAGAATCCTCAAATTTCATTTTTTATTATGTGTTTTGAGCCCAGCTTTTAGATTTAAAGTAATGATGAAGAATAAGTAAAAATTGGATTGGGGGAGATAATTTTTTGTAGGAAAGTAAATATTTTGTGGAAATGGACCCTAATTAACATGAAATAGTTTATATCATTACATAATCCCTTTTCAGCTTTGTTGATGTAACAACATGTAATCTTTGTTTGCATGTCCTGTTTTCTATTCTTTTTTTGTCAGTTTGCATACATATATTCACTTTTGATAAGGACTTGTTGAATTTCAATGACTATAATGTGCCATCATATTGTTTAACATGGTGCATAGGCAATCATCTCTTTTTGAATACTTTAGATTTAGATTTTAAACTAAATTAACCAATAACCATTTAGAAATATGGCGTGAGCTTGTGTGAGAGTCTAGAGAGTATAGATTTTTTAAAACTTTTTATTTTGAAATAATGTCAAACTTACAAAAATGTGAAAGGATTAGTACAAAGAACTCAGGAAACTCATTGCTCAGATTCACTCATTTTTAACATTGTGCCATATTTTGTTGGGTTTTTTATGTACACTTTTTTTCTGAACTATTTGAGAGTTCATTGCATTTATCATGTCCCTTTAGCCCTTAATGTCAGTCTTTGTTTCCTAAGAATGAGGATTTGATAGGCCTCCCGTTGACGCAGTGATTGACAACGTGCTATAGAATATGTTTAATGAGAAAATGTAGAGGTAGGAAAGCAAAAAGAATCTTGATCTGGCCAAGCATGTGGCATGAAGACCAAAAAGAAATAGTTATTCACATATTCCATTAATGAGCACGTAGGCATTGCACTGGGCTGTAAGAGATAAAACTGTGAACTTGGCTATAACCGTTTGAGGGCAGGAGGAACATCGTCTGGCATCGTTAGAGCTACACTGAAGTTGCATTGATCCGAGCTTGCCACCAAGAGCCTAACAGTCACCATGATGCTGAGCAGGGAAGGCAGGGAGGGTTTCGTGGTGAAGGTCAGGGGCCTACCCTGGTCCTGCTCTGCTGATGAAGTGATGCGCTTCTTCTCTGATTGCAAAATTCAAAATGGCACATCAGGTATTTGTTTCATCTACACCAGAGAAGGCAGACCAAGTGGTGAAGCATTTGTCGAACTTGAATCTGAAGATGAAGTGAAATTGGCTTTGAAGAAGGACAGAGAAACCATGGGACATAGATATGTTGAAGTATTCAAGTCCAACAGTGTTGAAATGGACTGGGTGTTGAAGCATACAGGTCCGAATAGTCCTGATACTGCCAATGATGGCTTCGTCCGCCTTAGAGGACTCCCATTTGGCTGTAGCAAGGAGGAGATTGTTCAGTTTTTTTCAGGTTTGGAAATTATGCCAAATGGGATGACACTGCCTGTGGACTTTCAAGGGCGGAGCACAGGGGAGGCCTTTGTGCAATTTGCTTCACAGGAGATAGCTGAAAAGGCCTTAAAGAAGCACAAGGAAAGAATAGGGCACAGGTACATTGAAATCTTTAAGAGTAGCCGAGCTGAAATCCGAACCCATTATGACCCCCCTCGAAAGCTCATGGCTATGCAGCGACCCGGTCCCTATGATAGGCCAGGGACTGGCAGAGGTTATAATAGCATTGGCAGAGGGGCTGGGTTTGAAAGGATGAGGCAGGGTGCCTATGGTGGAGGGTATGGAGGCTATGATGATTATGGTGGCTATAATAATGGGTATGGCTTTGGGTCGGATAGATTTGGAAGAGACCTCAATTACTGTTTTTCAGGAATGTCTGATCATAGATACGGAGATGGTGGGTCCAGTTTCCAGAGCACCACAGGGCACTGAGTACACATGAAGGGATCACCTTACAGAGCCACTGAGAATGATATTTACAATTTTTTCTCACCTCTTTACCCCATGAGAGTACACATTGAAATTGGACCCGATGGCAGAGTTACTGGGGAGGCAGATGTTGAATTTGCTACTCATGAAGATGCTGTGGCAGCTATGGCAAAAGACAAGGCTAATATGCAACACAGATATGTGGAGCTCTTCTTGAATTCTACTGCAGGAACAAGTAGGGGTGCTTATGATCACAGCTATGTAGAACTCTTTTTGAATTCTACAGCAGGGGCAAGAAGCGGTGCTTATGATAGCCAAATGATGGGAGGGATGGGCTTATCCAACCAGTCTAGTTATGGGGGTCCTGCTAGCCAGCAGCTGAGTGGTGGTTATGGAGGTAGTTATGGTTGTCAGAGCAGGATGAGTGGATATGACCAAGTTCTGCAGGAAAATTCAAGTGACTATCCGTCAAACCTTGCCTAGGTAGAGAAGGAGCATTAAACAGCTACTACAGAAATGAAAGCGGTGCATTTATGGGAGTTGAACAGAATGGGAGGGCTGTCTAGCATATCCAATATGGTAAATGGGAAATAGATTCTGATTACTCTAGGTCAACTTTTCTTTCTTTCTCTTTCTCTTTTTTTTTTTTTTTTAAGAAAAAGGTTACGTTTAATACTTTTGCATTACAGGCTTGTGATTTATGCTTACTGTAAAATGGGAGTCAGAATTGTTTTCAAGCTCAGTAATTTTGAACACTGAAATATTCAGTATTGACCATAACTGTTAAAACTATTTTCATCTTTCCTTAAGTTAGTTTATGTTGTAGGAGTGTACCTAAGCAGTAAGCATATTTAGGTTAAAGCAATTCTCTTATGTTAAATGTTGCTCTTATACCACAAGACATTGAAAACTTTGGATGTGTGTTGAGAAATATGCTTTTCTCTAAAACTCAAATATAGGAGCTCTGCGTCTATAATTCAAAGTGAAAACATTTGGCATGTTTGTTAATTCTAGCTTTTTGGCTTACTATCCTATAAGGCACGTGAGTGTACACTTATTTTTATTAAGATCTGGGACAATTTTGAGATGTAATACCAATTGATACTTTAGGAGTTGGGTCATGTCATTTGTATAAAATTCTGAAGCTTTGATTTAAATCTTTCCTTGTATTGTGATTTCCATTAGACATATTGTACTAAGTGAAACCTGTTAAATGAATCTTCCTTTTAAAAACTGGAAGAGCCGAAACCGGTTTGGCTCAGTGGATTGAGCGTCGGCTTGCGGACTGAAAGGTCCCAGGTTCGATTCCGGTGAAGGGCATGTACCTGGGTTGCGGGCACATCCCCAGTAGGAGATGTGCAGGAGGCAGCTGATCGATGTTTCTCTCTCATCGATGTTTCTGACTCTCTATCTCTCTCCCTTCCTCTCTGTAAAAAATCAATAAAATATATTAAAAAATAAAAAAATAAAAACTGGAAGAAAAACAAACAAACGAAAAAACTGTGAACTTAATAGACAATGTCTTTTTGAGATTATAATGTATTATGTGAGGAGATGGGTGTCAATACAGACAACCAAACAAGCAATTTCAGTCAATGTGGTGAATACTGTGATAGGAAAGACAGTGTTCCACCTTGGTTAAAAGGTCATTGATGACTTTGAAAATGAATTATAGACTGCATTACAACACACGGGATAAAGACTTTGGAAAAGAAAGATGTATGCTAGATGGTAGGGGATTGAAGGATAAGTGGAGGAGATACACTATAGCTGAGTTCAGGAAATTTGGCAGTGAAAAGGAAAATAGAGTTTAAGAGGAGGAGGGAACCCAGAAGACTTGATTATTTTTTGTCCTTCCTGCCACCAATAAGCTGGACTAGTTGAGTATTAGAGGCTGAGCTATTAGAGAGGGGGGGCATGAGTGGGATCTAGAACATGCTTAGCTTTGGAGAGGGGAAAGCATATTCATATAGAACTGGAGAGAATGAGAATATGGGTGTAGCTATAGGATGCATTGTAGTGGTGAAGATAGATGGATGTGGTAGATGGATGTGATTTGCTTAGTTACGGAGGGAATTGAGGTCATGTGAAGAGGTGGAAGGGTAAAATTAGAAGCTTGAAGAACTTTGTAACTATTTAGAACAAGCTTTGAGTGAGGAGGAAAGACAGAATGCTGACAAACAGCAGTCAAGGCCCAATTGAGGTCAGAGCATGAATTGGTAATGGACACAGTGTTTCTCCATAACTCTCCCTTAGAGCTCTACTTTCCAGAGGTAGAGTGAGGTTATCCTTAAATTATCAAAGGTTAGGATCATCTGGTTCTTACCTTCTTTTATTTTTGCATGATATAATGAAAGATGCATGCAACTTTTCATTGGCATTTTATTTCAGTGATCTTTTCTCTTCCTGCATGATAATGAGAACTGCCCTTTTCCACCTCCTTTACCTATCATTTTCTTCCTTCCTGCATTTTCACAGCATGCTATTTCTCTGAGATGTCCCAGCAAGCCGGCCAAGCGTCATATTGACTTCACAGAAGAACAGGCTGAGCTGACACCTGTAAGTTCTATAAACATGTCCATGGAACTAGTTAAATACCAATGAAGAGGAATGCATTCTTCAGAACTTTTGATGATGAAACCTTATCATATACCTCAATTTTTCAATTAAAAATTAAACCAAGGTTAAAAATAAATGAGCAAAAGCAAATGAGCAACTCTACAATATGGCACCATTGAATATTAATACTTGTGGTGAGGTTATGTAGGTTGTAGCATGTCTAACAGAGAAATTTTGTGTTGGAACCCCCAGCTGCCTCTTATCCTCCAGGACTCTATAAGCTTTTTAAGAAATACTTTGCTGAACTCCTAATATTGGGTTAGGTAGTCCACCTAATACTTGGCTCCCATACCCCTCACAACCGCTGTTGTAACTGTCAGTTCTCTCCCTATTTGACTCTAAACTGTGAGAGTAAGAAATGCCTGTCTTGGTCGCCTTTGCATCTTCAGTGCCTGTCATGGTTGCAGGCTCAAAGTTGAAACCTAAAAATAATTGAATAAATGAAAGAGGGGAAGATGGAAGAGAGTAAGAAAATGGGCTAATAATAAATCAGTGAAATGGATTAAGATAAGACTAAGCCATTGACCTTGTGTTGTTAGTGATAAATGAAGGAAAATATAAAAAGGCCCCATTTAAATGAAGCTCTGTACATTTTTGTTACCAGTAACATGTACCAAGACTAAAGGCCGATTTAATGACATGCCCAAAGCAGTGTCTTTTACTTTTCTCACTCCTCCAATTGCATACCACTCTTCTCATCCATCTTGCATCTTTCTCCAGTAACCAGTTCTCCTGCCACCCCGCACCTCCTTTCTGAGGAATGCTAGAGTGATGTAGGGACTGGCACCAGTAGGAGAAGGTAGATAAGTAAGGCATTTATTGAAGGGAGGAATTTGCTGCTTCTGATTTCTAGATTTGGCGGGGGGGGGGGCTGCAACAAATACTTGAAGCTTAGACAGAGGGAGCATGGAGATCTGGCCTCCCTCCCTGCTAGTGATTAAGCAGTGAATAGCTGTCTATGATCATGTCCACCTAGTGCTTGTGGTCTCATTTTTAGATGTAACATATTTTGGAGTAACCAGCTATAATGACTATACCCCTTTTATTTTAAGATATTTAAACCTTGAAAATTTTTTAAATGGATAACTCTTAGAGCCTTTAAATAGTTAGATATTCTTACTGATCAGAGTAAGATGGATTATTTTTTAGTGACTTGAAGTCTTGAAATAATTTGAATTTAAGGATTGATTGAGTACATCCTGTAAGATTTTTTTAAAGTTTAAACCTTACTTATATGTAGAATCAAATGAACAAAAGAAACTGACAAACAGAATAGGTCCAGAGGCATGGATACATGGAACAGAATGACAGATCTCAGAGGAGAAGGGGGTTAGGGGAACAGGAAGAGATTAACGAACATATACCTGGTATGTATAGCCCATGGACACAGACAATAGTGTGGGGAAGACCTGGAGTGGGACAGGGGCTGGGTGGAGGTGAGGGAAATGGAGGACATCTGTAATACTGTCAACTATTAAATAAATAAATAGCTAAAAAAAAAAATACAGGCAGTGAAATACCATATAGCAAACCTAACTCAAGTGTAGATATGACTCAATATTAAGTTAATATTATATTCTGTTATCTAGAAGTAGTGTGTTTTATTATCTGTGACAAAGAACTTTATGAGAGTAGATGCTGCTCTAGTATTTGTTTACGTAAATGAAAAGAATTTGTTTCAAGAATAACTTGATATACAGTTAGGTTTATAAAATATAAATTATAGAATATTTTCTATAACTCCACTTAACTGTGCCATGTATTGTTTTAAATGGTGGTTAGTAACTACATAGCATTAAAACTAATTCGGAATTATTTAGAGATGGAAGTCTGAATTACATATATATCAAAACAGCTATAATTTATACTACATGAGTTTAAATACAGTTGCTTAAACTTGTAACAAGTTACTAAAACGTTATTAAGGGGAAAAAGGCGGTTAGGGCTATGTTATTCGCAATCATTTTAATGAAAATATCTTAATTGCTTGAATTAATTTAACCATTTTAAGGCAACAGCACTTCTTAATATTTTACTTACATCATTCAATTGCCTTGCAAGTCCTTTACTGTGCAACACATTGTTAGTATCCTAATATAATGAATTAATAAAATTTTACTGAAAATAGGTGATTATTATTAGGCAAAATATTTATGGACATTTTTCCTCTTGGTTTGACTATCACTGAATTGTCAGAAATACTTGCAGAAGTTTTGGAAATGATGTAGTTTCATTCTCTTTTCATAAGATTATATTATTTAATGTGGGCTTTACAAGAGGAAGGAATATGTTTGTCATTAACCTTCGACACCTGTTTATTTGTGCTGTACGCACAGCACTCACAAACACTGTCCTGGAAAAAAAACTGGCTCTGTGGTCTGTGCAGTGTGTGACCATTTCCCAGAGTGAGGATCAGCAGGAGTCGGCTAGGACATGCCTTCTGGCATGGGTGGTATCTGTGTTCCCACCCACCCCCCCTTTTCTTTTTTTCCTCCCCTTTTAGAAAAAATTTCTTTTAGACACATTTTAGTGAGTATAGGGGAAAGATATGAGGCTAATAATAGAGAATCATTCTTTGTCTACTTTATATTTTAAACACATAAAACCTCCACTGACTTCTATCGCCTTTTTTTGTTTTTCTCTTTCTGTACAAGCACTCCTATTTGGACAGGGAAACCTCCCTTCTTCTGAGAAACATTGCAGGAAAACCTTCTCATTTGCTGACCAAGGTGAAACCTCTTCTTTCCACCTGTATGTAAATATTTATTGCCTTATAGGTAGAATACAATTTCTGGGTTTGATTGTGCTCTCAGATTTCTCAGATTGTGCTTTCTTATTTCAGCACCTTTGTGCTGAAAAGGAGTGTTTTTTTTTCTTACTGAAGGTAATTATTTACTGACTTTAATATGTTCTATTAAGAATAGAACATGTTTGCAGTAATTTACTAGTTTTTCACTGAAAATTTACTGTTGTAAATACCTAAAAGTCTTCACAAGTATATTGCACTTTTTCTAGCTTAACATTGTAATTCACTTGAAAGTCTAAAAATGTTTAACTTTTACTACTAATGCTTATCTATGCTGTGAGGTTTTTTTCAGCCGACTTTGTTTTCTAATTCTTGTTTATATTATCAGCACCTCATTTAATTAAAACATTTGTTTATATAAACAGAATCTTACTTTACATTAGCTTCATCAAATTGGAAGAGAATGAGTTTTAATTTCTCAGTTCTTCAATTTCAGAATAGTTTGAATTGGTCCAGCTAGATTTTCACTGGGTTGGTATTTTACATCAATTTTAAATCTTTTAGCCATTGCCATCATTAATTAAGGGAAACAGAATAAGGAAGCTGACTATAAATAGCTTTCTGCCGCTTTTTAAATCAGGGTTTTATTTTATTATCTTATTTAAATAATGTTAAAGTCAAGAATGTCAGACTTGGTTTTTGAAAAATATTCACAGTAATGATAGGTAATGTTTGTTAGATATTATATCAGAGGGTATTTTTTATTTCATTTTTTTCTTAACCATATAAACTTGTGAAAGATGGTAAAGCTAAAATTAAAATCTCCGTGAGAAGCAGCTCAAAGAGAAGATCCAAGAGTCAGCAGTAACCCTTTCTCTTGCCTGAGTTTCTCTCTTTGAAGTAGAGCTAGGAATGGGTTAGAAGTAGCTTAAATATCAGGGAATGTAGAAGTCTAAGCAGATAATAGACTTGTACTTTCTAACCTTAGCAAAATTCTTTCCTTTTCCTCAGCTCTTCTCTGTTGACTGTCTCTACCTGGAATATTTACTCATAGCTTCAGCTAGCATCTCTGTTCTAGATTGTATCTCTGAGAGCAACAAATTTTCAGATAGCCATCAGGCATTTCCTGTAAGATTACCAGTACCAATCCCGAAGGTCTTTAACTTCCTTGCCCTGGGGCCTCACAATTTCTATTCAGAATCCTGCCATTCTCCCAGTTGCCCAGGTTTGAACCCTCTACCATTTTTGGTGCCTTTCTTCTTTTTACTTACGACCTCAGCTCTAGTGAAGGACTTGCTATCTTGAGGATTTACTGAGTTCACCCTCCCGTTTAATTCCCATTGCCACCACCCTAAAACCAGTTCTTAATCTCTTACCAGAGCCACTACACTTGTCTCTTTATTCTTGCCTGTCCCTCCTCTTGTCCATTTTTTACACTGCTCACAGATTAAGTGCAGCTTTTAACCATATCCATGGCTTATTTATTCAACAAATATTTGTTGAGTCATGTGCTGTGCTAGCTATAACATTGTATAAAATGGCCATATATCCCCCGCCTCCCTCAGGAGCTCACAGTCTTCTTATGAAGGTGGATTTAAAAAACATTAACAAGCAAGCATGTAGACAAATTCTAACTCATGTTTTAAGTGCTATGAAGGAAGGCTGCATTGCCTTTAGATGGTGAAATCAGAAAAGGCCCTTCTGGTAGCATTTAATCTAAAACTTGAAGGATGAAAAGCCATCTTGAGGGTCAAGGGAAGAGGTCCATGTAGACAGTCCCAGGGAGAACGGATCTTGGCACGTTTGAGAAGCTGAAAGAAAAACGGGGCTGGAGCCACAATAGTCAAAAAATAAATATATATATGAGTGTCTTTATTTGGATTTGGAGAGGTAGCCAGGAAGCAGATTATTCAAGCATGCTAAGGAGTTTAATTTTTTCCCCCCTAAAACTGTTGAAGAGAATAACTTCATTCATTCAACAAATATTTACTATGTGCCACACAGCATTTACAACCCAATATGCCAGTGAACAAAAACAGTTTCTATCGTAGAATGAGTGGTTCTTTGCAGGTTTTGGATAAATGCAGTCAGTAATTTCTCATCTCCCTCTGCCCAAGTGATGGTGATGCCAACTGCAGCATCAGAGCCATTCCCTCCTCAGATCACATCTCCTGTTACCCCAGTGGTGGTATTACTGGTGTATATAGTCAATATCCTGCTTTCATACAGTAAGAAATTTGAGCAGGAATGTGATTCTGTAGCATAGAACCTAAATATTTAGGGTGGGGTAGTGAATGGAGTCAAGGATGAAGTGGCAGAACTTCTAGATAATCTGAGCCACAGGGGCCTCTCAATGTCAGTGCCCTCTGTACCAGAGCACCTGGCTGTCGTGAAGCTAAAATGAAGTTATACCTCTTGGATAGCTCCTGTGTGGTCGTCTGGTTCTCCCTACCCAGAGGACATGTGTCCAGGTTACTGACACACCTCTGACCTGCTCTCTTCCAAACTAGGACATTGTCACACCCAGTGGTCAGTACATAGCAGCACTGTGCTTAGGCCAGGGCAGCAAAAAGAATGGGTGGGTTTTTTTGTTGTTTTGTTTTCACCAATCCAGGCCAAGTGAAAATTTTCATTTTTGACAAGCAGTGTTTATTTACTGCTATCCCAAAGTTTGTGTTATAACCCTTAGGACAAAAGGAACTGTCATATTGTAGTGTAAAGAGCAAGCAGTCACTTGGTAGCTGCCAGTATAATCTTAGAAAGATGAGTCTTTTGGGGCCTTATTTAGTGTGTGACAAGTTTCAAGGTGTTCAGATAATGTTAGTTCTCTTCTCAGTGACAGTCATATCAATTTCATGATTTCTTTCTTTGCTTTATTTTTTTAAATTGATTTTAGAGAGAAAGGGAGAGAGAGAGAGAAACATTGATTTGTTGTTCCACTTAATTATGCACTCATTGGTTGATTCCTGTTTATACCTTTACCAGTATCAAACCCACAAAACGGTGTATTGGGACACGCTCTAACCAACTGAGCTTACACGGTCAGGACAGTTGCATGATTTCTTAAAGAGAAGTAAACTAGTTACTATTTTGGCCCTAAACAGTTTTCTAGAATAGACCACTTCATGGGCATCAAACTGTTTACTACTACAAGTTTTCTTTTAATTCTTTTAATTTACATAGCTTGTTTATTGTTATAATCTGTGAAATAAACTAGATCCCAAAGAAACTGCTAACTTCTCTTTAGCCCCGTAATTTCAATAAGATTTGTTCTGAACCCACAAAGCCTTAATAATTTCTTAGTTGAAGGAATTCCCTAGCCGTCTGTTAGCAACTGTAACTCTATAAGTATTCTGTTTTTTACACTGAAGACAATGCTCTAACACTTTGTGGCCACAGCATTGGCTTTCATTTAATCGTAAGATCTTCACTGAGTTTTTGTCCTTGATGTAAATTTGAGGAGGCTTGGCATTTGATGATTATTGATAGCCACACAGGGGTTTTTCAGGTAGAAAATAGGTTGTCTCTTGCTTTTGTAAGAGAAGGGGTAGGAAAGAAAGTTCAGTTATTATATGTGTGAGGTATCTTTTACATATATTTAGGATAGTTATGGGACAAACAGGGTGAAGAAAGGGATAGGCCAAAGATAAGGGGCAGAAGACTTAAACCCGGAGTTTGTTGGCTTTAACAGAAAGGAGAGAACATGAGATGAATAAAGCTCTGTTCTTTGTTTTAACTTGAGTTGCAGATAGTAAACAGATTTGCATTGCCTTTATAAATAAACTATTGGATATCTTCTAAGTATATAATCTAAGTACATTAGCAAAGATTTATTGATCTTTCCTATATTGCACAGTACTCTATAAGCTTACAACAGTTTCTTCCTTGTTGTGGTTAAAAGATATGATGATGACTTAAATAAAGTAGGTGAAATCAAACTTTCTGAGGAAGAATAAAATACTATGAATTTTGCAGTTTGATATAAACATTTTATTTCCACTTTTGCTCCAAACTCTAGAACTTAGAGGTATCTTGATTAATTGTTTCTTCAAAAAGCTCCTAGCAAGGACATTCTTATTAATAAACTGGAGAAAAATGAACTTAAATTTCCCTAGGTTGAAATTAAGCTAGCTTTTAAATTTGAATTTGATAGTTTTAACACAGACCAATTTATGTAAAGAGTAATATGTTAAGCAAATGGGAGAATAGCTAAATTTGGGTGTTCAAATAGCCTACCTTGCTGTTTTACCGAAAAATGGTTTCTTATTGATGGCTAGGAAATCTCATTGGTTTAATGTATGTTCATTGGTTGCATGTATCTTGTTTTCTTTCCTTTTTTTCTTTTTAATGGAATTTATTGGAGTCTTTTGTTTCTTTAAATCTTTCTTCCAGTGTATCAGCTTTTTTCCTGTTGGCCTGTGGAGCAGAAACTGATCTGGGAGTTTAAGCTAATCTTATAATTGAAATACTTTTGATGTCATTTCTTCAAAAGATAGCACTGATTGTGTTCTAGATAATATACTAAAAGGGGAGTTGTGAAAATAAATTTTCATAATAAAATTTATAACCAATATCAGATGTAATATTTGAATTCTTATATTCCTTTTTTGAATAGACTTTATATTTTATAGTAAAATTTAGAGGGAGGTAAAGAGATTTCTTATATACCACTTACCACCACACATGCATAGTCTCCATTATCACCATCTCCCACCAGAATGGTACATTTGTTACAGTTGATGGACCTATATTAACACATCATTATCACTCAGAGTCCATAGTTTATATTAGGCTTCACTTTTGCTGGTGTACATTCTATGAGTTTGGACAAGTGTATAATGACATATATCTACTATTAGAGTATCATACTATTAGAATAGTTTCACCCCCACAAAAATTCTGTGCTCCACCTGTTCACCCCTTCCTCTACCCAACCCCCAACAATACTAATCTTTTTACTGTTTTCATAGTTTTGCCTTTTTCAGAATGTCATAGAGTTGGAATGTATAGCCTTTTCAGATTGGTTTCTTTCACTTAGTGATATGCTTTTCCATTCCCTCCATGTCTTTTCATGGCTTGATAGATCATTTCTTTTATAGCACTGAATAATATTTCATTTTCTGGAATCAGTATAATTTATCCATTCACCTACTGAAAGATATCTTAATTGCTTACAAGTTTTGTCATTTTATAAATAAGGCTACTGTAAACATCTATATGTAGGTTTTTGGGTGGAGGTAAGTGTTCAACTCATTTGGGTAAGTGTTAAGGAGCATGATTGCTGGGTCGTATCATAAGCATGTCTAATTTTCTAAGAACCCACCAAACTGTCCTCCAAAGTGGTTGTACCATTTTGCATTCCCACCAGCAGTGAATGAGAGTTCCTGTTACTCCACAACCTCACCAGCATTTGGTGTTAACAGTGTTTTGAATTCTGGCCATTCTAATAGGTGTGTAGTGGTAACTCATTGTTTTAATTTGCAGTTCCCTAATGACATATGATTCTGAGCATTTTTTATAGTCTTATTTGCCATATGTGTATCTTCTTGTATCTGTGTAACTCATTGTTAAGGTGTTTTGCCCATTTTTAAATTGGGTTGTTCATTTACTTGTTAGTTTTAAGAATTCTTTGTATAGTTTAGATCATAATTCTTTATCAGATATGTCTGATATTTTGCAAATATTTTTCCTAGTGTATATAGCTGTCTTCTCATTCTCTTGAATATGTTTTATCCTAAAAATGTATTACGCTTTTGAGGACATCTAATTTTTTTTAACTTCTGCATATTGATTATAATATAAAAGAATTTGGCCTTTTAGAAGTTCATGTTTATATTCCAAATATGCAAAGCATTGATTCTGCATACCAGTTTTTCCTCATCAGACTTTGAGGTTTAAATTTATAGTAGTAATTTAGTTTTCTTATTTTATAACCTGCCTTAAGAAAAAATCTTGTTCAGATATATAATCAACAATAATTCTGTTGTTTATTTGCATAAAGTGTGGATAGGATGATCGAATCTTTTAATCAAATGAAAATATCTATAATAGTCTAAGAATTCAGTTTTATCTTACTCCTCTCCATTGTTAAAATAAAGTTCTTTGTTTTCTGTCTAATTGGGTTTACAGATAGTATTTCCAGACCTTGGTGGTTATTATGTTAATTCCCTGACTCCTTTCATTGACAAGGATCAGATTTCTGACAAACAAGCCCCACTGTCTTCCCCAACCACTGGTTTTTCTGTTTCACAGAGTAGTGAGTAAATACTAAGCTGGAAATGAGGGGAGAAAGCCTAGAATGTGAAGAGGAAAGCAAAGCAGTTCAGAAACAGGAAAGCCAACAGAATTTAGGAGAGCAGTGAATCTCTTTTGCGGGGAGTTTCTTTACCCTGATAGCTTTAGGTTTTTAATGAAGAATAACACACGGGTTGTGGTTTTTAATTAGAATCCACAGTAAATAGTGCTTGTCTGATATAATTAGGTTTTTCTTTTGTTGTTGTTTTTAGTGTGTGTGTTTTTAAATTTTATATTAAATAAAGGAATCTACAAGCTGGTAGTTTATATTTTTCTTAGTTATTTTCCAGAGAAATCAAAGTTTAGAATTAGAAAGTAATCCTTTATAAGTACAGGTTTACTTACATGAGTTTTCAACTGGTAATTAATGCTGCAGTGTACTATGGCCTATTGCTGGAAAGTGCAGGTAAGTACTGGTATTAGAGCACTATATGTTGTTTTAGGAAAAAAATAGACTAATGGTTTAAGTATAGTTGTAGTTCTTGATAATTTTATTACTACTTATCTAAATTTTATAAAGTAGAAGTTAGTAGAAATTAAATATTTGAAAAATTATATTTAACTTAAAAATTATCAATGAATTAATGGAAATAAATTTGAGTTTATTGACATGAGACATTGATTATATTGTGTGTTTTTTTCCAAAGCAGAGTAAAACTTATAATATAATGTAGCCTCTTCTATTTTTATTGGTATATTAATGAGAATGTACCTACATTTTTTTAATTAAGGAGTTATATATGGTTGCAAATAAATTGATACTAGGATTTTTTGTTTTGTTTTTGTTTTTTTGCTATTTTTATGATGATACGTTTTCAGTGTAAGAGAACAAAACATTAGTATGCAAAAAATGGATTGCCCATGCTTTGGAGGGGTAATAAATTCAGAGTTAAGTATTGTGCAGGTGTAACAAATTGGCAATCTCACAGATAACCTATATACATTCATGTTTCCCCTAGCCCAGAACCCCAAATTCATCTTCAGATGGACAGAATCAAACTCATTAATCTACTACATTATAGGTTTCTTTTTCTCTGGAATATGGAATCTAGTCTAATAAGAGATCTTCAAGTCTGCATCTTTAAAAAAGTTTATAATATGTGAGCTCTCACTTTTGAACACGGTTATTTTTAAAATATACTTTATATAATTGTGTGAAGTTATATTCTTGCTGAAATTCAATGCTAGCAACATCCTTAAGGATAAAAAGACTTCTTTTAAAAATCTCATTATTTTAGCATTAGTTTATCTGAAGTGCTTTTGTTCACAGGAAGAACAAGCAGCAAAATTGAAAGCTGAGAAGATCAGAGTTGCCCTAGAGAAAATTAAAGAGGCACAAGTGAAAAAGGTGATACTTGGATTTTTTAAATCAGTTTTACAGATTTATAAAAAATTGCCTTGTTTATATAATGTATCTCTAAGATATGGAGAGGTAGAGGGGTAGTTCTTCCTAATATATTTTTCACATGTATTTTTTGTGGATAAAATGCATTTTAAAAGAAGTAAATTTCTGATTTTAAGTTACCCTAACAGAGTAAAACAAAATAATCTTATTATGATCTTACCCGTTATAATTTTAAGGAGGCTTTACATTTGTTTATGTAGGTTATTTGATACCTAATTTTAGAGTATTTTTATATAATAAATTTAAGTTTGTTTTAATTTATATTTAACTGAGGGCATTACTAAGAGCAGTACTCAATTATTGGAAGAAGTTTCTAAAATGTCTGATTTTTGGTTTGCATTTAATTTTCTTTTTGCCTTTTATAGCTGGTTATTAGAGTCCACATGTCTGATGATAGTTCTAAAACAATGATGGTGGATGAGAGACAGACGGTGAGACAAGTGCTGGATAACCTCATGGACAAATCCCACTGTGGTTACAGTTTAGACTGGTCACTGGTAGAAACCATCTCTGAGTTACAAATGGGTTAGTAATCTCATTGCTTCACTTACTTTTTAATTTCTTTTTAATTCTAACAGTTTTTGTGTTGGTAAAAGCACTTGGAGACATATTTATATTTTATCCCCTATAATATAAACTTGGCTTTTTACATTATCTTTTTTTTTCAAGTATTTTGAGATTTCTTTGAATATGAGGTATCTAGTTGAGTTTAGATTTTCTTATAGAACAAACTTTTTGTGTGTTTTTTAAGGTAACAAAATACTATTTCCCTTCAAATAAGAACTGCATAGATCAACACATTTACTGAAGACCAATTTATTCACATTTACTGAAGTCTTTATTCCTGCATTTGATTTTCAGGGGACAAATAAAGCACAAATATCTTATTTTTAGCTAGGTGTATGTCGTCTTAGTTTCCTAAGATTTGTAGTTTGGTATGATGTCTTCTAATTATAAACATCCTCATTTTTTATATCATTCTTGACTTTTAAAACTTTTTTTTTTGTAATATTAGTTGTATGATTACAGAAATCTTGCAGTAATTCTCTTAGCATACTTAATTGAATCAGTAATCAATGTTAACTTGCTATTTTAAAATATGTATTTGCATTTCTCTTACTACTTACTATATTTTTAAATATTCACAGCAATTTACAGATAAATAAAAAAATATAATTATTAACCCCTTCTCTCAGAAAATATGTACACAACTCCCAAAACTAAGTCATAAGTTATTAGACCATCATTAACATGAATAAAAATGTATTCTCGTAATACTCATCTATAACTCTTCTTAATTAGAAAACTTGTTTGAGTTCATAGATGTAGCAGCATTATGATACACAGAAAATGTTTGGATGCTAGTTTTGGAATATTTTTATGATCGTAGTTTTAAAGACTCGCATTTGTAATATTTCTGTATTACCTCTTATATAATTGACTATGGCGTTTTAAGTAACTATTGTTTAATCATATATACATGGCACAGTGCTTCAACTATAGTATGAGGTGAACTCGTAGATACAGAGATCAGACTGGTTGGTTGCCGGAGGGGAAGGGGGTTGAGGGGCTAGGTGAAAAGGGTGAAGGGATTACATGCAAATTAGTAGTAACAAAATAGTCACAGGGATGTAAAGTTCAGCATAGTGACTATAGTCAATAATATTAATAAGTATATATAGAGCCAGGAGGGTACTTGAAATATCAGGAGACCACTTTGTAAAGTAGTATATGGTTGTCTAACCATTATGCTGTACACCTGAAACTAATAAAAAATAATAGTGAATGTTAACTGTATTTGAAAAATAAAAATTAAAATATATATATTTTTTTTCATTCAGTATTTGTTGAATGAATAAAAGAAGAGAAAACAAGGGGCTACTAAGAGCCCAAATAAGTTGGTAGAAACAAATTATGATAAATGTAAATTACTCAATTAAACAAATATTATTAGAAAGTATGAATAAATAAAATGCAACTGTTTGCTGTTTATAAAAAAGACCTATTATCTAAAGACACATAAGTAAAAGTAATGTGAAAAGATACTAACCAAAACAAAGGTAATTAACTTTGTTAATAGCAGACAAAATAGACTTTAAGCACAATGCATTACTAGAGATGAAGAGAACACACATATTCACTAGAAAGAGACCATATTTCTAAATTTTATCTAATAGCATTAAATTGTATAAAGCAAAAGTTGACAGAACTACGAGGAGAAACTCATGTCAGCCTTCATAGTAGAACCTTTTCAGTGATCAGTACAATCAAGCAGACAAAAAAGGATACAGGAGATTTGAAAAATAATTTGTTTGATCTATGAAATAAATTTAGAACACTATCTAATTACAGGAAAATATGCATTCTTTCCAGCAGAAGAGGAATATTTCTAAAAATTCAAGTATGAGGCCATAAGCAACTTCAAGAAATTTCAAAAAATTAGTATCTAAATGGGTTCTTTGAATATATATGTTCAATCTAAAGGTCATGTGCTTTGATTCCTAATTTGGAAATTAGAAAATATGTCTATGTTTAAAAGTAAAACCCATGACTCAAAGAAGAAATTATCTTGGAAATTTCTTAAATTACAAGAACTGAATACTATTGGAAATACTTAATATCAGAATTTATGATATGCAACTAACATATTCTTTTTTAAGGATGAATGGGAAAAGGCTGAAAGCTGAAGAAGACCTAGAAGAAGAATTAGATTCCAGTCCTAATTCTTCCATGTAGCAGGCATGTGACCTTGCTAAAGTCACTTACCACCAATAGGGCACGTTCCCTTATTTGAAAACAGGTGGAAAATCTCTAAGGGCCCAGGACTGTAGTGTCAGTAAGGATTCTGTGATTCTGCTGTGAATTATTTTGCATGGTTTCATATATTTGATGCAATTCTGGTGAATACTAACAAAGTACTGGTATTTTATTTTGGGACAGAGAGAATCTTTGAAGACCATGAAAACTTGGTTGAAAATCTTCTTAACTGGACAAGAGATAGTCAAAACAGGCTTATGTTTATGGAGCGTATAGAAAAATATGCACTTTTCAAAAATCCACAGGTGAGACTCAAAAACACAGAGGTTGGTATTTTTAAATGCTTATATTCTGTCATTACTAAGTTGATAGAGTTAAAAGATTGGCAACCACCTGGTTGGAATACTGTGGTGGTAAAACCCCATGGGAGCATTCACTACTGCTAGGGTGGAGGGACTGCTGGGCCCCGGTTGTCAGGCCCGAGGGAGGTTATCTGCCCAAAGAGCCGGATGGGGTGAGCCCTTGGGGCAGCAGAAGTAACTCCAGGGAGTTTCCAGGTTTCTGCTCTAATCCAGAGCTGTGTTCAGTAGCTATTTATTTGGTGAGTTTCTATCCATCAAAGAAAAGTACTTACATATTTAAGTTTCTCTATTTCAGCCATTTATCCAGTTGAGATTTTGATTTGTTTTTTAAATTATTTTTTGATCTTAGTAATCTTGATTATAAATGGTTCCACATACTAATACATGTGACCTTGCTTTACTTGGCATCTTTGCTTATTTCAAAACAATGTTTGAGTTAGTACTTTCTATTGCCCAAATCCTATCTTATATAATAAAAATGTAATATGCAAATTGACTGAATGGCGGAATGACCAGTCTCTATGACGCACACTGACCACCAGGGGGCAGATGCTCAACACAGGAGCTGCCCCCTGGTGGTCAGTGCACTCCCAGGGGGAGCACTGCTCAGCCAAAAGCCAGGCTCACAGCTAGCAAGTGCAGCAGCAGTGGCGTGAGCCTCTCCTGCCTCCACTATGGGCGGGTGGTAAGGAGCAGGTCCCGAACTGCTAGAGCCCCAGACTGCAAGAGGGATGTCTGACTGCCGGCTTAGGTCCAATCCTCGGCGGACATCCCCCGAGGGGTCCAGGACTGTGAGAGGGCGCGGGCCGGGCTGAGGGACTCCCCACCCCCCAGTGCATGAATCTCATGCACTGAGCCTCTAGTATTTTATAAAAATCAATAGGCAAGAGAAAACAACCCCACTATAAAAAGTAGTAATGAGGGAAAATAGTAGCAGTGTTAAAGGTATTGAGTAGTCATCCTTCAGGTGGCTTAATCATGACACATCTTTACTGGACATTTTAAGTGAAGAATACACATTTGGGAATATGGATAGATCTTTTTATGGGTGATTGTTGAAAATTTTTTCATAAGGCTAATAATTAGAATTCATATTTTAGTTGAGTCACCAAAATGAGATTATGGTAGTCTCAGAGAATTTGGGATTTCTTCTTTAAAACCCAGAACATAGAATTACATTTTCTGCATCTGGATCAGTTAAGCTCAGCATATTTTAAGGAAATTTGCTTTCTTTGTCATACTTAATTTGTAAACCTTTCAGGTCCTGTAAACACAACTTTCATTAGATATATCAAAACATAATATTGTTGCATGTAGTATTACCTCAGGATTTGGGGGAGAGCACTTACATTGAGTAGGTCAAGATAGCCAAAGCCGGTTTGGCTCAATGGATAGAGCGTCGGCCTGCGGACTGAAGGGTCCCGGGTTCGGTTCCGGTCAAGGGCATGTGCCTGGGTTGCGGGCACATCCCCAGTGGGAGGTGTGCAGGAGGCAGCTGATCGATGTTTCTCTCTCATCGATGTTTCTAACTCTCTATCTCTCTCCCTTCCTCTCTGTAAAAAATCAATAAAATATATTAAAAAAAAAAAAAAAGATGAATGAGGAAGGTAAGGAGGAAGCCACTGTTAGCCATTTAATGATGGTGTCCCTGCACAGGTTGCTTTCCAAAGAGTGTTCCTTCTCTACACAGCCGGAAACCGACACAGAGGTGCTATGTCTCTAGAAGAAATCACATATGCTCTTGTGCCAAGGGAATAATAGAATGTGTTTATCCTTTAACTTTCACGTATTCATTTTTCCAGAACTATCTTCTGGGGAAAAAGGAAACAGCTGAGATGGCAGATAGAAACAAAGAAGTGCTGTTGGAGGTATGACTCTTCACTCTCCCATTATAATATTAAAATATTAACCACCGTTTTTTTAAGTCAGTTATGTCAATGCAGTATGTTTATTTTTGCAGTGTAACTAGAGGAGACTCTATTTTTCTATAGCCTGATGGAGAGAGTTCAGCTGGTGTACTAAAAGGGACATGAGCTTTTTGGGAGCTGATGAGTGGGAGAAAAGGCAGGGCAATGAAGCGTATGATTGTGCTGTTTATCTGCTTACCCAGAGAGAAATTTGAATATAAATAGCTGTTTACAAAATATTTCAAGCCGTAGTCTTACTGAATGTTTACATGCATAATCATTTTTAAAAATACATACATCTCCTTATTTTGAAGAATAATAAAACAAATTCATATTGAATTTTTGGCTTTTGCTAATTTAAGAGCATTAAGACCAAAGACGTTCATATGTTTGAAAACCTGAATAAATGCTTGCTTACAACAAGGCAATTAGGAAAGTGAAGATCAGCACTCAGCTTTTTATATGGTACTCACTACAATTAAGAAAAATCCTTTTTATAATTCCTAATTTTTCTGTACTTCAGGGAGAGAGAAATTAATTTAGGCTCCATATGTCCTATGTTAATCTTTAGTGAGTATTTCTAAAATTCTTTTACTAAATACATGGTTGCTTTTTGTAATCATTCACTTAGCATGTTGCTTTCTTTTAAAGTGCATTTCTATTTAGCTTGACAGCTAATCTATGTTATTAATTTGGATAAATATAAAGTTCAATGCTTATGTTAGTTCTGACACTTTCATTAAATTTAGTATAACTGTGCTGTTTACAAATGCATTTAAGTGTCGTTACATGCAACTCAGTTGACATTTCATCTGTTTCTTCAAAACTGTATATTAGGTAAAATTTCACAGGGACTGCCATAGCAGTTCTAAAATAAATACATATTATGTTACAATAGAAAGTTCTAATTGAGGTATAATTAACAGCATGGTTTTAATACAAAGCCACTTTGGTTTAATTACAGTGTCATACATTTTACAAGAGTAAACACAACTTTGTTCTGAGAATCCAAGAATTATATGTCTTTCCAATTTATCATCTTTTAGGAATGTTTTTGTGGAAGTTCTGTAACTATACCAGAAATTGAAGGAGTCCTTTGGTTGAAAGATGATGGCAAGAAGTCCTGGAAAAAGCGTTACTTTCTCTTGCGAGCATCTGGTATTTACTATGTCCCTAAAGGAAAAGCAAAGGTGTGTCCCTTCTGCTGGCTTTTGAGTTTCTTCATTGTGCTAATTGATTTTAATTTGTAGTGAGTGTGCTGACAAGGTGAATCCAGGCTCTGATTTGTTTCAACTTCTGTAGGACACAGAACATTGCTTTGTTTACTGATCTGTTTATAAAGAAGAAGAAACCTGAAAATGTTCACTCTCTGCCCATTAGTTGGGCCAATCTCCATTCTCTTGCCAAATTTGAAACCATCCTTATATGTATTATTTTTTGGGACTTCTACCAGAGTAGTTTTTGCTGCTCGTTGTTTGGGGAGAATAGCTTTCTGGGATTATGGATGTTTCAGCCTTACCTGTCGCTTTTGTGCTTACGGGGGCGAGGCACTGTTTTAAGCTCCTCACTGTATCACTTCTTCCAGTCTTTACTGCCACCCCGAGAAGTACCTACTGTTGCCCCTATTTAACTGGTAAGAAAACCCCGACTTGAGAATCACTGTGCTTGAGATATGTGTGGACAGACACTGAACTGCATTATTTTCTTGTTCTTTCCAGAGAGCTCTACTATACTAGATTATTTTTAATATACTATACCAGGGGTGGGCAAACTTTTTGACTCGAGGGCCACAATGGGTTCTTAAACTGGACCGGAGGGCCGGAACAAAAGCATGGATGGAGTGTTTGTGTGAACTAATATAAATTCAAAGTAAACATCATTACATAAAAGGGTACGGTCTTTTTTTTTTTTTTTTTTTAGTTTTATTCATTTCAAACAGGCCGGATCCGGCCCGCGGGCCGTAGTTTGCCCACGGCTGTACTATACCATAGTTAAAGTTTGTTTAAAATGCCACCCTTTTCCAAGCAAGTCAGTGTTAATTGTAAATGGCAAGACAGTAAAAGGGATGGCCTTTTTTGTTGCATCATGGGTTAAAAAAGAAACATTTCTAGAGAATCTCACTGTCTTGTCCTCTGTAAAATAGCAGTAATTTCTACGTGGTAAAATTTTGATTTTTCTACTAGAAACTGTTACCAGTAATGATATTTGCTTGCTTACACATTATTGTTAATTTATCCGTTTGACTGTGTTTTATCTTAGGTTTCTCGGGATCTGGTATGCTTTCTCCAGCTGGATCATGTCAATGTTTATTACGGACAGGACTATCGGAACAAATACAAAGCCCCGACGGACTGTTGTCTGGTGCTGAAGGTAAACATGTATCTCTTTTTAGGAATTTTCATTGATGTTAGACATAGACTGTGTTATTGGACATTTTAGAATAGTTTGGATCTTCATCAAGTATACTGGTTTTGCTTTTTTCTGTGGTTTTGTTTTTCTTCTGTACTTACTCAGCAAAACCATCAGAGGGCACTGTGGTCAAAGTGGACTGGCTCTCATTTGGTCCAAAAATTATTCTCTCCCCCCCCCCCCCCCCCCAAACACACACCACACACACACACAACTGTAACCCTGGTAATCCATGCATGTAGGTAGTCCATGCAGGTATATTGCCTGTCTGAGTTGTTTTTAGGGCTTTTTCCCCCTCTCCTTTATACAAAATTTTTAGCTACTCACACCAATTATATCTGTACTTTGAGAACTGATATTTTTAGTGAAGTTTTAGTGATCTGTAGGGACACTAATAAAAACAACTTGTAAAAATCCTGGATAATTATGGAGATGATTGTCTTTCTCATCAGCTCCATCCTAGTAACCCTTTGGTAGCTATTAGGTCTACATGTTTATGTCATTGTTTGATTTTGCTTTTCTGAGAATTGTCATTTGGGTTTGTGGTAGTGGTGTTTGTTTAGTGTTTTGGTGTAGAGTTTTTATTGCTTTGATAAAATTAGGTGTATTGTAACAGTAACCCTTTTGTAGGTAATCCTTTCTTGGAGAATACCGCTGTATCTTTTAGGTTACAGCAGCAAATGATTTTTAAGTCAGTAGAAAGTAGCTTAATCCAGCAATTTTCCAAATGAGGTCTAAGGTCCCCTGGGAGTCCCTGAGGACCTGACAAGGGGTCCTCATAATTACTTAAACATAAAAACATAATTTGTTTGCTTTTTACACTCACATTCTCTCACAGATATATAATGGAGTTTTCAGAGGGGTTATATGACATGTGAAGATATCTTTGCTCTCTTAGGTAGTAAAATGTGTATTTGTATATTCTTGTATTTTAATTTTTAATTTCTTGTAAAGTAAATACTAATAAACTTAACCCATATAAGTAAAATTTATTTGGGGGATCTTATTACATGACAGTAAGAGTTGGTTATTTTAACGACTCAGATTGTCAGTGAGAACCTAAATTCTTTCTGTCTTTCCCTGTCCCATTTTCCACATATCAGCTTATTCTCAGGCTGGCTCACTTTATGGTCACAGATGGCCACTGCAGTTCAGGCATCACATGTGACCCGGAAAACCCATCTGTCAGTGGACACTTAGGTTGTTTCCGTATCTTGGCTATTGTAAATAATACTACAATGAACACAAGAGTGCATATATCTTTTCAAATTAGTGTTTTCATGTTCTTTGGATAGATACCCAGCAGAGGGATTGCTGGATCATATGGTACTGTACTCCTAATTTTTTTAGGAACCTCCATACTGTTTTCCATAGTGGCTGCACCAATTTACAGTCCCACCAACAGTATGCAGTGGTTCTCAACCTTCCTAATGCCGCAACCCTTTAATACAGTTCCTCATGTTGTGGTGACCCCCAACCATAAAATTATTTTCGTTGCTACTTCATAACTGTAATTTTGCTACTGTTATGAATCATAATGTAAATATCCGATATGCAGGATGTATTTTCATTGTTCATGACCCACAGGTTGAGAACCGCTGAAGGGTTTCCTTTTTTCCACATCCTCGCCAACAGTTGTTATTTATTGCAGTATTATCTTACTTCCTTTTGCAGCTTATAAAATTCTTAGGTTAAGAATATTTTTATTCTAAGGGGTTATTTTTTTGAGGTTTAGAAGGATCAAAAGTGTTAGAGTGGGTGGAATGTTACATGTTTTTATTTTTTTACTTGCATGTTAGTTGAGGGAAGTAATTTTCAAGTCTATATGTGTTTCCAAAGTAATAAATGGTGAGTATATATTCAGTGGTTTTCCTTTGGCACTTGGACTGTGATTTTATAGCATCACTTTTAATTACAGAGTTTTAGAAATTATCAGTCTCAATCTAATGTTTGGCATAAACATAAAAAAAATAATCAAATAGCACAATAGTAATCCATAATTTATTATATTTTTAAGTGTTTTTATTCTCAAAATTTTTACCTTTTATTAAAGAATGCAAACATTCCAAATCAACATCATTTTAGAAGTGAAATAATTACTTTTGGTGTAGCTATTCATTTGTTTTGGAAGTAATTTCATTGTATGTTCTCTTTGGAGCATTTAATAACTTAAATGCAAAGCTTCTGATTTTTAGCAAAGACTGTCTCCTCCATACTTGCTCTTAGCTCTTGTGCAATTTTAAAAGTGGTGGAGAAGAGAGGCAGCAAATTGGGAAGAAGATTCCACCATTTATGAGGCAGTAGTGTGGCATAATGTTCAATAGCATGGATCCTGAAACGAGATTGCACGATTTCAAATCCTGATTCTTTCACTTGTTGGCAAATAACTTTGAATGCAGTCCTCACCCCTTTGGGCCTCCATTTCTTCTCAGATTGTGGAGGTAATTATATGTGACTCATAGGGTTTTCATGAGGATGGAATGAGCTAATATTTAGCATAATGCTGGTGCATGGTAAGTGCTCAATAAACGCCACTTTTAATAAAATAACATTATATTAGTGGAACAGGCATTCTCCTGCGATATTGGCACAAAGCCTGAATGACCATATGAAGGCTATAGAATGAATGCCTTTATTACACGGGAGGTTGAGAATTTTTGAGGTCCTAAAATGCATTTTAAACTAGCAAGTAATCTGCAAATACTCAAACAATCATATCATAATACTCTTCAGGGTGTTACTTTGATTCTCAGGTTAGAGATGAGGAGAGAAGGATAAAGGAAAATTTCTCTTTGATATTCTCTGATGTTGTCTTGATAAAAACACTCCCTTTGTGTAGAGAAGACACACTGTCTCAGGCAGGGCCACCGCTACAGTGGAACACCCTTGGTTTTAGCCCTACTCTCAGGAAATGGAAGGAATTAGTCAAGAACAGTTTGTAAATCACCATAAAGGGAGGAGTAGGGATAAAGGTTCAGAGCCATCCTGTAGCCCCTTGTTCAGATGTCTGAACCCTGCTGGTGAGCAGTGTCTCAGGGAAGCAGGAGATGGAGAACAGCTCTTTTAGCCCTAGTTGGCAACACTAAAGAAAGCTTTTTCAGTCAGCCCATTTTATCTTCTGCACAAACTGTGGCCTCTTCTGTTTTGTATCCCAACATCTACTTGAAGCATCTGGCAAATAGTTGTAGCTCAATAAGAATTTGTTGAATGAATGAATGAAATTCCCCTTCCTCCTCTTATAGAAAAGTACACGCTCTTCTGCCTGTCCTCTGCTCTTTCAAGGTTGCTATGGTGGTTTATTTTAATGTGATTCATGAGGAGAAGGGCATGTATTCCAAGACAAGGCTGTGGAGCCTATATTATCAGGAGAAAAAACTGTTAGATATTGTTTTGCTAACCTCTTATTGTTGAAGCGTGATGGTTAAAACTGACTGTAGCATTCAATAACTAAATTGGTGTTAAATGTCTTATCATAGGAACTGAGCTCTAAAGCAATGTGTAGAATAGAATAAATGAATTTACATTTCTCTCATTGTAGACCAGAGAGACTGATCTTTTAACAATGCAGATATACAACTTAGAGTGGTGGCCACATATTCCTGCTGCAGTGTTAACTTATTCAAATTGCTTATTTTATTGATTTCATGGGCTTCCACAACAAACGAATATGGTTAGAGAATTTTTAAAACCTCTTATAATTGAACATAATTTAAATACTTTAGGTAAAATATAGCCATTTTAAAAAAAATGTTCAGAATAACTGAAAAGAGAAATCATAATAAACAGTCATTACATCCAAAACTGAGTGTGATTTAGGGTTTTCTTCTCAGAGAACAAGTGGTTGTGACCCAGTGGAGTTAAAACAACTTAAATCTGTGCTAGCACTTGCATTTTGCAGTCAAGGTCAGGTCAGTCACCCGCCATCCAGCCCTCACCTGAAAACTACACTTAGTTCTCCAGCAGACTCAGTAGGACTTTGTCTTTAACCTTGCAGCACCCACAGATCCAGAAGAAATCTCAGTACATCAAATACCTTTGCTGTGATGATGTGAGGACCCTGCACCAGTGGGTCAATGGTATCCGCATTGCAAAGGTAAGTTTTCTTTGAGTTTGATGACAGAACAATGAGGTACTTAATTATATGGTTTTGATTGTCATGATAATTATTCCGGTTGTTTCATGTTTATGATTTTGCCAGTGTCTGGTTTTCTCAGGCCTATGTTTTAAATATCTTTTTTTCTTTGGGGCTAGATATAAACTTTTAACAGTTGGTATGTATCTATGGAATAATACTGCTAGTAAAAGCTTGTATAGCGTCAAAGGTGATTTATTTTGGCTTTGGAGCATGTATTATATGATTCTTATGTTCAGAATTCAGCCTAGACAAAAGAAATTGCTTTGGGGGGTGGATGAATAAGCGGAGTACAGGATTTTTAGGGCAGTGAAAATATTCATACTCACTCTATGTCAGTGGTTCTCAACCTTCCTAATGCCACAACCCTTTAATACAGTTCCTCATGTTGTGGTGACCCCCAATTTCATTGTTACAAATTGAACATAATTAAAGCATAGTGATTAATCGCAAAAACGATATGTAATTATATATGTGTTTTCCGATGGTCTTAGGCAACCCCTGTGAAAGGGTTGTTCGACCCCCAAAGGGGTCGCGACCCACAGGTTGAGAACCGCTGCTCTATATGATACTATAATGATGGGTACATGTCATTATTCACTTGTCCAAATCCATAGGATGTACACCACCAAGAGTAAACCTAAGATCAACTACGGGTTTTGGGTGATGATGATGTCAATGTAGGTTCATTGATTGTAACAAATGTACATTGTGTTGGGCAGTGTTGGTAACAGGGAGGCTGTGCATGTTAGAGGCTGGGAGCGTATGGGAAATCTCTGGAACTTCCTCTCAGTGTTGCTGTGAATCTAAAACTGCTCTATAAAAAAAAGTAAATCTTAAAAAAAATCTTTTAAAGCACATTTTGAAGATGATTATATTAAGTAACTGGAAATAAAATTTATTATAGATATAAAATCAAAGTTGCTTGAGGAATAACTGAAAAAAACTTTATATTGATAATGAATACAATCAGGTGTTAACTTCTTGCTGCCTTTGTAAAAATGAAGAAAAATAAGAGATTATAATTTACTGGTATTAAAAGTATTTTTGAAGGATTGTTAGGTATTAATTTTAATACAGACTATGAATCAGTAAACGGAAATGTACCCCCTTTCCTGCCTCACCCGGCTGTATCATGCCCTGTGAAGTTCAGATGTCCTCACTTACTGCTTCTGTTTAGTATGGGAAGCAGCTCTACATGAACTACCAAGAAGCCTTAAAGAGGACAGAGTCTGCTTGTGATTGGACTTCCTTATCCAGCTCCAGCATTAAATCAGGATCCAGTTCTTCCAGCATCCCAGGTAGTGTGAAAAGCCAGTGCACAGTTTACTAGCAATATGAAGGTGTCCCTGTAGAGTGCTAGTAGACCTGGTTGCTTCAGCATGATTCCTAAAAAACAGCCAACTTAATTTCTAAATTATAATAAATAGGTACATGAGCTTTTTTTTTTTTTTTCTTGCTAGAGGGGACAATATCCTGGGCAATCTAATAATATCCACATCTCATAGAGTGAGTGGATAGGACTAGCTGTAACATTGGCATCTCTACCAGATGTCAGGCACTGAGCTAGGGGCTTCTGCATGGTAATCTTACTGACTTGGAGTCCAGTAAAATAACCTTCCCAGTCCCCTCGCCCTGGGAGTCATTCAGATTACACTGTGTCCTCAGCCATTCCCAGCTCCCCTGAAGACTTGCCCTCGCACCTTGCCAGGAGGCCAGGCTGTCAGTGCAGCTGCTGCCCTGTGGTGCCAATACCTAAGCCCTAGGAAACACACTTCCCACTTGGGAGTCAAATTCTAAGTACTGTTCATTGCTGGGTCAGGATGTGAACATCACGTATAGATCTGAATTCATAAGTGAGTACTCTCTGCGATGGCCTGGAGCAGGTATATATAAAAAGATTGAATTTTGATGTAATGAAGATAAAATTGAAGAAAAAAAAATTCACTGCTCTATTGATGGTTCATTTTCTTATTTGCTAGGAGTTCTTCCAAAATAGATTGGCAGGATACCAATAATATCATATGAGCCTTTTATTGTAATTATCAGTGTCTCATGGTGAACTGTTTTAAAAGAATCAAGATTTCCTATTAGCCCCTAAGGTAAAGGGAAGTTTTCTAGTGGAAAATATGGGCGGTGCTTTATATGAAATGCATAAAAGTAACTTTTTCTCTTCTATAAAGCACCTGGTCTTGTGCAAAAGATCTGTCTGAACATACATATTCATACTTTCAGAATACTGACATATGTAATACTGTTTTTGAAAATCTATTTTAAACAGAGTCTCAGTCAAATCACTCAACTCAGTCTGACAGTGGGGTGTCCGACTCCCAGCCAGCGGGACACGTCCGTTCCCAAAGCATCGTGAGCTCCATCTTCTCCGAGGCCTGGAAACGAGGCACGCAGCTGGAAGAGTCCAGCAAGGTAACACCTGTGGTCATCGGTAGAGAAAAACCTGTGGTGTTGGGTGGGTTTAGCTTGCTGCTCTTTTATTCCTTTACAGTGGGGCCTTGACTTACGAGTGTCCCGACTAACGAGCTTTTTGAGATACCAGCTGTCTCTCGGCAGATTTTTTGCATTGAGTTGATAGAGTAATTTGAGTTAACGAGCTCCTTAACGAGCTCGGTCTCGGAACGAATTAAACTCGTAAGTCAAGGCCCCACCGTATTAGGAATCTTTCTTGGCTCTACATGATAAATTCTTTCTTTGGTTTCTCCTCAGAAATGAGTATTTGTGAATGGGCTCTAGTGATTGTGATTTGGAAAAACAAACAGAAAACCCTGGCAGTGTAACTCCTTTTCAGTGGCTCACATTTTAAGAAATATTGACTTCCTCCTCCTCCTAAGTCAGTTTGAGTAGAGCAACACCATTCAGTGCCAGTGCCCTGATCTTGCTGCGAATGGTTGAGTGTTTCTTTATGTATTATTAATTTAGTTTATTCAGACTCCTTTATCTTCTTTTCTTCTATGCTTTTTGACATTTCTCTACACATTGATGAATTTTCTCCAGTTATGGTATATGTGGAAGGCTACATTGAAATTAATCCCCTTAAAATTTTGGATCCCTAAGCCTTGCATAATAGCTTGTTCAGTGCCACTGAAGGACAAGTGTAATTATTGCAAGACTATGCAAAAAAAAAAAAATGGAGAAGTTCTTTAGATGATTGTAAAACACCATATCAAATTGCCTCTGAAATGTGAGAGCGCGGGTGTCCTGGCCGCATTCACCTGCTCACGCCACTGCTGAGGACCCAGTGGCACATTTGACCTGACCACTTTGTTTTTACCCAATAATAATTTTGATTTTTCTGTTCTTTTGGTCTGAATCACTTATGCAAGTACATTCACTAATGAGAATTAAATGGTTTTCCCTCGGTTTATTCCTTAATTTTAATATTTAGTCCTCAGGAGGGTGGAGGAGGCATTAGTAACCCAATGCGGAGGCCTCTTAGAAGTAAATATTTGAGAAGTGGTTCTACTGGCCTAAATTCTCAAAGCACTTATAGTTTAACTTCCTTATCAGAGGCTGAAACTTTAAGAAATAGTCCTCTCCTTTCTTCCACTTAATGTGGATAGAGTGCCCCCCTTTCTGGTGCTAATTACTCGATGTATGTAGTAGAGAAGCAGGTTTACACTGCAGACATCTGGAGAAAAGTCTTCACCTTACTACGTGTTTAATGGTGCTATCCATGTGCATTTTAAATGAAAGGCCAAGGAAAACAGGATTGCATGCCCGTGATCCAGCAGGGCACTCTCATTGCAGTTTCAGGAGCGTGCGCCCTGCGGTGCAGCAGTGACGACGTGTTTGAGTCTTGATCCTCTTGTGTTTCTTCTGTTACCTCAGTCTCAGGTGCCAAATGAGAAGGCCAGCACAGCTAAGGTCTACACCCCTGCAGCAGCCAAGACAGGGTCAAGTTAAGGTCAGGGGCTGCTCTATGGAAACACATTAACCTGGGTGACTCCTGTAACCAAGTCTTGCAGACTAATGCTTTTACTTTGATGTGCAGTTTTAAAAGAAGCATTCGAGTGTCCTGATGAGCAATAGAATTCAGCCCTGTAATGAGCCTTGTAGTTCACTAACCTCAGCTTTCTACATGCTAATTAGATTTCATTCATAATTGAAAACAAATGGTTTTAACTTGGATCTTCATAGGATATTCAAGAGCCTAAAAGATGTACCCAAAGTTATTAAACAAGGGTCCTTCCTCTGCTCTTTTCAAACATCCTTGAACCACATCCATGCATGAGGAGTTCCATGGCATCAGTGACTCAAGGTGATAATTTGGGCCATGCTAAGAGGTGCTCAATGGGCTGGCCAGCAGGTTGTTGGCAAATTCTAGCTCCCCTTTCTTGATACATTTCCTTTAGCCTTCCAAACTTTCTTCTCATTGTCTTCTGCCTTTTTCTGTCGGAGATTGTTATGATCTTTTGCTGTGATGTTTATGAAGCATTTCTTTGTGTATTTTCCAGTAAAATGTAAAGAATGCCCCCTCTTTACCTGCATTGCTGGACTTCTGTGTATGTTGGATGTGTCTCACATGAGCATGTGTGTGTGTGTGTCAAGCTCGTTCACTCCTGTGTGACTGCACGCCCGCTGAGCATTCTTACACTCAGTGTCAGCTTATTAGCATCTAAAAGCCATCCTCATTCTCAGAAGGCCCTCCATCAGCACTCCTAAACCCAGCCAGGGCACCTGCCTCATGTGGATGAGTCACGGACTGAAACTGAACTCAGCCATCACATCTCCCCTTGCCAGAGTTTGGTGGCGGGCTCCCACTTGGAACAGCCCGCCACCATCAGACAGCACTGCAGCAGGAAGCTGTTCCTAGATTGTTGGGCAGTCGAGCTATTTCAAAATGTTGTTGGATAAACAGACTTCCCCTGCGCCCTCGCTGCCCAGGGAGCCAGATTTTAGGCTTCCTGCCTTGCTCATCTTTATGGTCACAGCTGCTGCGCCTTTTCATGCATGTCCGAGTCCTTGCCTTTTATTTTTACCCATTCACAGCTGACATCTGTAACTATTGCTATGTTTTCTCTCACCCCCCTTTTGTACTCCTTTTAGGCCAGAATGGACTCTATGAATCGATCCTACACTTCACTTATGCCCCCTTTATCCCCACAACCTAAACTAGTCAGCCCCTACACGGCCTCCCAGCCTTCGCCTCCTCTCCCACCCCCACCCCCACCCCCTCCTCCTCCCCCTCCACCCCCGCCCCCACCTCCCCCTCCTCTGCCCAGCCAGTCTGCAACTTCTGGGGGCTCAGCAGCCACAATGGTTGTCAAGAACAGCACCATCACCAGGGTTGCAGAACGCCTCTCAGCATTCAGGGACCCCCTGTTTAAAGCCCCCACCACCCTCGGGGGGAGCAGCCTCCTGGCCCTCGACCTC